GTATGCGTTCGAACCATTTGTCAAAGCATTTTATAAAATCTTCTTCAGACAACTCCAAAACATGGTTTTTAAATGCAGTAACGGATTTTTCCGCCGACAAAAATTGTTGTTCAACCAATTTACTCTTACGTTCGGGAATAAAAAGAAGTCATTGGTTGCTAAATCAGGATTGTATGGCGTTTGACCCATTAATTCGATTTTTTGAATGTTCAAACAATCGGTTGTTAGACGAGATGTAACATATGCGCACTCGCATTGTCTTGATGAAGAATGATACGACTACGCTTGTTTGTTTTCTGTATTCTCTCGCGTTAATTCCATTTTTTCGCGAACAATTAATTTACAAATCACTTAAAATAACACAAATAACGCTTTTTTGACAAAAAGTCTAAGGTAGGTTATGTTTAATAATGTCAAACTTCTATATGGAAACGTCGGATGACATCTGACAATAACCAGTGTTGCCAGGGATCAAAATATAAATATTGACTCCCGTAACACTGCAGCAAATATTAAGTAAATATACTGAGAATACTTTTGTTTTTATAACGACTTTTAATAATTAAATAATGAATATAAAAATAAAAAATAAAAATATTTTATACCATTTATTACAATAATAGATGATGATAGATGATAGATGATGCCACGGATTCAGACTACCTATGTCCTCGGTTACTATGCGACAATAACTTCGCCACCAAAATTCCTTCAAGAGGGGATTGGAAGGCGGGATTGCTTACAACTCCAGGAAAGATAGTGATCTACACCGACGGGTCTAAAATGGATGAGGGCGTTGGAGCCGGAATCTTTTCTACGGACCTAATGATTAGTAAATCATACCACCCTTTAGATTCTACCTCAATATTTCAGGCTGAAGTTTTTGCCATCCTTAGGGCAATTGTTCTTGCTTTAAATATGTGCCTTCACGGAAAAGAGGTCTGCATTCTAACTGACAGTCAGGCAGCTATTAAAGCTTTATCAGCAGTCTGTCTGTCATCAAGATTAGTAGAAGAATGTAAGGAAATTAACAGTGAACTAAGTGAGAGGTCCAAGGTTACTCTAGTATGGGTTCCCGGGCATTCTAATATTGTGGGAAATGAGCGCGCTGACGAGCTTACTAGGCTAGGCGCCTCTTCCACGGATACCCCTATTTCGATCCCTGCCCCTGTCAGCTACGGGCGTAGGCTGATTTGTGACCATTTTTTGCGACAGGCAGTGAGTGGACCCTTACTGTCTCAGCATCCAGGTCAAGGGCTACTTGGCCCATCTATTCCAAATATAGAACCTCTGACTTAATCTGTAGAAACAAATCTGAGGTTTCTAAGCTAATATCTGTCGTTAAGGGTCACTGGTCCATAGGACGGCATGGAGCTAGACTTGGCCTTCCCTGTGGTACCTCATGTAGTGCGTGTCTACCAATACTTGAAGAAATGACACCAGAACACCTGATGTGTTTTTGTCCAGGTCTGGCCAGAACGAGGTTTAAGTTTCTAGGAGCCCCCTTTCTTCAACTCACTTAGCGATATCTCCAGTATCAGCATTAGCCAGATTCTTGCCTTTGTTAATGCCTCTGGTTGGTTCTAGTTTCACCCTCTATCTACTACCCACTATTACGAGGTTTTTGTGGATTCAAAACGGCTTTCATCCTTAGCTATTTGAGGAGGATTCGTCCTCTCTCCACCACAACTAACTAACTATTACAATAAATAACAGTTATTATGATACAACTTTTAATCGCACAAGTTTAAAGAACGCTTTTGTCATATATTTGCTTAATCAACTTTAGTTCTACTTCAGGAGAAAAAACCTTTTTACTTTAATCTATAGCTATTGCATTCCTAATATTATTATTTTATTATTGTATTGTATTATACGTAATAGGATGTATATTTTATTGCAATAAATTCGAAAAATTTAAAGCAATAAGTGACATATTTATTTAAAAAAAAACCATACGAAAATAGGTGCTATAATATAGTACTATACTATTTCAGATATTCATAGAAAATCTTTTAAATTTTTAAAGCTTTTTCATTTTATTCAAAATAAAATTCTTTTACTAAGGAAAATTAACACTACTTATAATGCGAACGTTGTAACCAGGACATCCTGTTCTACAAAAAAGAAGAGAAATTGCTTTTTAGTAATTACCATATCGTGGCCTTAGATTATACATCATAAGTTTAGAATATTTAACGGAGGCTCCTTTAGAGTAAAGGAAATTTAATATAATTAATTTTTCTCTTTTATTTTTGCATAAATTTATACTTGTTCCAGAACGAAATCAATCAAGAAAACTCAGAAAAAAAATCTTTAAAGTTTTCAGTCAAAATTATTTTAGTTCCACTTTCATTATATCTTCGTTGTACGTGTAACACAGGGAAAAGATAATTAGAAATTTGTAAGTGTACGTTGAAGTTTGAAAAGGAAATTAAGAGGATTTCCTGAACGAATAGACGGTTTTTCATAGAACGTGAAACCATCGTAAAAAATTTACTATTTCGTATCGTAAAAAATTATTACTGATACGGAAAATAAAACAGAGAAATTTAAGTTTTATTGTGTGGTTAAAAAAATTACAATTATTATAGTTTTAAGTTACGGATTGGAATTTACAAGCTATTTCCACAGAGCTTTTTCAGCTGTTAGAGATACAGTAATGGAAATGTATAAAATTTTTTACGATATTCAAGTGTAACAACGAGAAAGATACTTAGAAGGACATCTTAAATCAAATAAAAAAATAAGAGTCCGTGAAATGACTTCAGTACAATAATTTATTGCAGGAATTAAACTTAGCGAAACAGTCTGAATATTTGAAAATAATTGTGAACATAATTGGTCTTCAGGTAGAATTCAATTTATTGCAGGAAATAAATTCAGACAATGCGTTTAAATCTATAAATTTTCATGCTACTTTTTGTGCCTTTTAAGTGTTGCGCCTAATAATGAAAACACAGTGGTTAATCAGTGAAAATGGTTTTATTGTTTTTTCAATGTATTCTTCATGTTGGTCAATACATTTTGCATTCGATTGAACTTCGAAACAGTTTTGCCACTCTAAAGTTGGTAACTCCAAAATCAGGATTTTGAATGTCTCAACGGCATTTTTGGGCATAGAAAAACGCTCACTATGTATATTTTTTTTAATGTTTGGGAATAAAAAGCTAATTGAGTGCCAAGTCGGAACTGTAAGGCGGATAACCCACCAATTCCACATTTTGAGTGCTCAAAAACTCTTTTGTATGAACTGATGTGTAGGAGCTCGCATTGTCATTATAGGGGATGACTTTTCTTCGACAGTTGGATTTTCTCAATTCTCCTAAGACTTCTGGCAATAAATAAATTGTTGTGTACCACTCAGAATTGACCGCTCTGGATTTGCTTTGTCCGCCGACAACTTTTGTCCGGTAATACTCACTTTAGAAGACCCAAACAGTAGATTGCTGTTTTTTTTTTCAGCAATGTTTTTTTTAAGCAGAGATTTTCTACAAAATTTTTTTAATTTTTATTTATTGCTATTGGTAAAAAGCGCTTGTCTAACTATTGAAGTCGCTTTGAAGTCACACTGATCAGTGGCGCTTAAAGTTTTTGATAGTTTCCAATACATTTTCATCATGGAAACTTCTACACAGTACACTTGTCAGAGAGGGTCAAGGTTCAAGCACTTGATACGATAGTAGAGTGTCCTGCTAGTTCTCCAGTAAGTTCACAAATTGCGGATTTACCGAAATTCAAAAATTCTTTCTTTCTTCTGCTAACAAATCTAGGGAAAGGATCTTAGTGATTTCACAGTTTAAAAGAATAGTATATAAGTTGTGAATGGATGCTTCTTAGTGAATTCAACTATGTTCCTTAACAGTTCACAGATTTATAATGAGGTAGCGGCTTTAATAGAAGCCATAACTTTTATTTATTTCAATATTTATGTTAAGTTAGATAGTGTTACATATACTGGATATAATAAGTAGTTTGTGTGTAGTAGCTCAATGTAATATAATAGCGTAACTAATGCATATAGTGGTATTTACAATGTATAAATTAATTGCTTTAGTAAATGATGTTAAGGATATATCTTGAATAAGAAAATATATAAGACATATAAGAAAAATTACGATTAACTTTTTTATAAGCATTAAGATTTAAATTATTTTTTTTTTTGTTGCTTTTTCATAAATTACAGTTATCATATGTATGATAACGATAGTCCGTGGTGGTATTAATTTCTACCTATTTCTCTTCATTTTTACGATTGGACGCCTACTGCAATCCATCTCAAACCGTATTCTTTAGGAATGCTTTTTAGTTGAAACTCGCAGACTCGTGTGCTTTGGAAAACGTGCTTCAAATTTTAAAATTTTCCATTTTAGTAAGTTTGATGGAATTTTTTGCTCTTAGCGTTTAAGATTTTTGCTAGTAAATACATTGAAATATTTATATCTAATATATACATTTCTATAAAGCGTACCACGTTCTTAATACATTTAATACCGAAAACAAAAATAAATAAATAAACATTGTATTAAAGCATTTAAGCGCACATATGTGCTTTGGTAAATTTTGTCTTAAGTATTTTTTGGAACCGCAATTTTTTTAATGAATCCTTAGGAAAATTTTCACTTGTTCTTCAAAGCTTTTGTGTATTTCCTGGAAAAATGAATGAACAAAATTCTTTAAAATTCTGTTGCATTGAATATTTCATTATTTTGCAAGTCACGTTAGAATTTGTTTATGTTTTTTGTAACAATATTTTATGGAAATTTTTTGCTTTGCTTTAAATTTAAATTTAAACATTGGAGAAGCACACATAACAATTTGAAGTTTTTGATTTACGAGTTTTCGGGGTAGAAACCTTTGTTGAAATTTTTTTTGTTAACTTCATTAAATGAAAATTTCTTTAAAATGAGTATTGTATGTTGTATTACATTAGTGAGAAAATGGAAAGTTTCTTAAATAAATAATGTAAAGTTAATTTAATTTATAAAAGTACTTATCACTTATGATTCAGCAAACAAAATAATTGTTAAAGGTACGTACCTGAAAATAAGAGAAATAATAAAATAATTTAGTAAAAATTGAAATTGAAAAAACATTTTAATTAATATAAAATATTTGTATTTTATTATAAAATAAAAATAGTACTGAGTTCGAGAGGTACAGCGTAGAACCTGTACGAGCATATAAAAATAATTAAAATGTATGTACTTCATTTCGTCTGAGATATTTAATCAATAATTAATACTTTATTATAAAGCAGGAGCTTTGTAGTAGTAATAATAAAGCAATTAAAAGTAGATGGAATTAGCTAACACAAAAAAAATCACCACAATGTTACCTTAAAATCTGTGGTAGGAAGAAGAACCTAGGTGTTATGACTGATTATAACAATAGATTACATCAAATTCCCAACAATGCCAAAGCAATGAAAAAATTATGACCAAAGTTCTTTCAGATGCACACTAATAATTCCTACTGAAGAAATTTCTGCGAACTAAACGATCAAAAGGCAATACCTTGCAGTTTTTTAAGATGCACACTAATAATTCTTACTGAAGATATTTCTGCGACATAAACGATCAATAGTCAATACCTTGCAGCGCTATTACTAATAGGATTTTAAAGAAAAACCATACCGAGAATAAAAGAATCATTGACAGGTTATCTAGGCGCAACCCTCATGTTGATATTTCAAAAGTATCATTATTATCAACGAGACTATTTCCATAGATCAACGACACTATTTCCTATTTTCAAACGTAAAGAAGTGGACATTCTTAAAGAAAGGCCATTCTTTGAGATTTAATGGAAGAATAAAAGGAAGTATTTAGAAGTATCAAAACAATAATTTTACATGGAAAAATCATGTGATTGAAATTAGATTATCTTGATACGGATTAAAATGTTCAACAGTAATTTAAGAACATTAAGAACAATGCTTTATTCTGCGTTATAATATGTTAAAAAGACCAAGATTATTGTGTGCATACTTAACTTTTGAAAAGGCAGAAAATAAAAGAATAGTACCAATCTGTACAGAATTTGGTTTTCAAAAGTATTTGGTATATTTTACATTATACCAAATGTCGTTGATGTTTAACTGATAAATTTTGGAAAACAAAAAGTTAGTCAGCATGACTCGATAGCGCTCGCCATTCACCGTAAATGCAGCTCCTTCCTCATTTCGAAAGAAATAAGGACCGATATGGACACCAGCGTGTAAATTATACCAAATTGTCAATTTTAATGAATATAATGATGATTTGTTAACGGTTTGAGAATTTTCATATACGACAATTTTGTTTATTGACGCAGCCATCTAGGTCGATTATGTTGACCGTAAAATGGATGAAGTGCTCTATGAACTTCGCGAGAAAATAAATTTTTTTTCTAAAGTTAATTTCCACAAAATGGAGGCATTGTTCTACCGTTGAATGATTTATGATGAATTGCCAAACTTTATTGAACAGAATTGAAAATACAGTTTGGCATTCTCAGCTAGCAAACCATACTCAAAGATATCGATAGTTCTAATGCAAGTAAAAAAACACTCTATATAAAGTATGTAGTATAATCAACTGTAAATCAAATTAGGAAATATTAAATGGACTAAAAATTAGTATTAAAGAATTTAATTTAGTTATTTGGATACATCGATTTTGAGACAATAACGTTAATTATGTAGTTAGATTTTTGAAACCGTTCAAATTAAGTGATATTTAAAGTAATATAACCAAATATGTGTTAAATTTAAGAATACTTAATTGTTGTTTAACCATTAACAAAATTTAATACTTGTTTAAGTTATTTGAATAAACTGTATCTGCTATCCCATACGGAAGGATTGACCTACCAAGCATTTATATATGAAACACCCTTATGATATTAAAAATTTAACTAGTATCTAATAAATTTTGTAATAAAAATTCCCAAAATTTATTCGAAACTTAAATATTTTTTAAAAACCATCCGGTAAAAACCATTTTACTATTAAGTTCAAAGCATATTTCTGAAATATTTTATTTTCGTTCAATTTTTGAGTTAAGGTCAATTACTTTAATGATAGGAAAAATAATATAAACTAAGAAATTTTATATTAAAATAATTGATTTTATTTCGACTTAATTAAGAAGGTTAAATATATGAACTCGAATGTGTCATAAAAGGAAAGCATTGAGTAAACTTCAAATATTTTATGCGATATTAAGTAAGGCCGTGGTTAGGCCGAACATAAAACAGTGGTTTGAAGTTGAAATAGGCACTGAAACAGTGCATAAAAATAGATAATTGAGTAATAAAATGTATTTAATTTTGAAGTATGCTTAAAATTCCGAGCAGCTCCTGTTTATGTGCGACTCAAGTATGTGTCAAATAAGTAATAAAAGACAGATGCCAACAGCAACAACAACAACAATTACAATAACAATAACAAGAAAAATAACTTCTAAGTTATTACGAATAAAACAATAACAACAACAGCCAGCATACTTAGAACGTAAAGATACATTTACCTATCTCAGTACCAACCACAAAACCAAAAAGATACATTTATAGTATACAAAGTATAAGATAAGATGAATTCATATAAAAGCCAAAACAAAAAAAAAAAAAAAAGAAAAGAAAAAATAGAAAAAGAAATTAAAAGAAAGGACAAGTAAAGCAAAAATCTGAAAAACAAACACAAAAACGCCATTTTGACACGTTTTGAGTGTGCAATAATGTTGCAAATTAAGTAGCGAATGAAACATTTTGTGTTTATTATGTGTTGTTGGTTGTTTAGTTGATTATTTGGTTTCTGAGAATTCTCAGATACATTAGCGCAACAACAAAATTAAACAATTCGTCGTAAGCTTCTATTGGGAACAACATAAAACTTGATAGAAAAACATCAAATATGTGCTTCAGAGTACCACGAACCTTATGGATTCACTTGTTTCCCTAACATTAAGTATTGAGTGAGGTTGTTTCAGTTAAACATAAAACCAATGAAATCAGTTAAGTAAGTAGAGGAGGGTAAGGATTTAGATAGTATAAAAGTGGAAATGTTTACAATATTGCCATAGCGAAAATGTTATATACCAACTTTATTGATAGTAGTAAAACCTTTGCTATGATAAAAGGAAAACTTAAATGTGACAGGAAATTGAATCAAACGAAAAACTGCGTTGTTGTCTATTAGCGATTTGATGCTTTGATGCTTTTTGTGGTGATATTATTGTGGTGTTGATGATGAATGTAATATTTGATTTAATTTATAAAAAACATATATATACTTTATATTGGCACAATAACAAAACATAAGAAAAATAATTCATTACATTGATTTAGAAACTTACTTCTATTTTTTGTTTATTATATTGCAATATACACGTAAATCTATGTTGCAATATATACTATAAATCTCTGTAAATCTCACTTATGTATACCTCGTGTGCTGATTTACTGAGCTGTCTAGTTTCATTATTTACCAGTACATGATGACAAGAAGTTACCAAAAAGAGCACCAAAAATAACCAATATCTAAAAAACTATTTTGACAATTTTTTTGTATTTCAAATCGTTTAATCTAAAACTTAATTCGTTCTGAAAGTTCATTAATTACGCCTGATAAATATAGTAATCGTAAGAAACTAAAAGCAGTAAACAATAAAATAATAGCAGGTAGAATTATTCTAATAATTTCAATAGTTTCACGGTGTAATAAATTTCGTTTAGTATATTTATTAAAAAATAATATAAATATTAAGTAACTCAATTTAATTTATTTGAAAAATTTTCTATAATTTGTTCAAAGTTTTACAAAATTTGTAGAGATATTAGGGATTATTCACTAAGGGTTTTCTTAAGCAGAGTAAAATATTCACCTCGCCTGCTTGTATATTTTCAATACTTTTTGTGTACATATTCCATAAAAAGTATGGATACTTTTTGTGTAATTATTCATCATATGGCGAAAATGGAAATTTTGCAAACATTTTCTTTTTAAAAATTATACTTTTCATTACTAAGCCTTACATATTTTAGTACATTAGCTATCTAATGACGAAAATGAAAATTTATCAAACATTTTCTTCTTAAAAATCTTTCTTACTATGTTTTACATATTTGATAAGTATTTTAATTATGTATTGGTGTGTATGCTTTTAATTATAATTTTTAAAATAATTTAATTGTTTTTTAAATACAAAGAATTTTCCAAATATAGTTAATTAATTGCATGGCTCACGGTGCGTATGAGTTATATTTTAAATAGTAGGTATGTGTATAAACGTTTGTGCGTATTTGATGCTAAATGTGTGACTGTATTTCAGTTTAACACAACTATACCACCGCTTGAAGCAATCTTCAATGCTAATTTAAGTCTTTTACTCCTTTTCTTTTAGAGACCACTATCGGATACAGGCAGTATTATGTCAAATTAATACGGCGTTTGGTCGTTCATAGTTGTTTAATTTTATTTATCTAAAACTTTTTCAAAACTCGCTCGTTTTTCAAATAATAAATTTATGACTTTTATTTTAATATTAATAAATTTCATTGCTTTCTGTTCAAAAAGACTTAGATGTGAACTTATTTAATATCATTATTAATATATATTTTCTATTTAATCAAAAACTTTAATAAATGTTAATCAGAATAGTATTATTTTATTAAGGATAATAATAGTGAACATGATTTTTGAACGTTAAATTTATGTTTTCAATTTAAAATCAAATTCTTTGATAGTAATATAAACATTTATATAAATATTTAAAAAAAAAAAAGTTCAATCTTCTCTATTAGTTAAAATAAGGAGACTCTTAGGTATATTATAACATACTATACCTCCAACTCAAAAAGTACGCGGATTTTGTAAATAAAACACACAAATTTAAATTTTATTCCAAATTTATTTTACCTCCTTCAAAGTATGCTTCTGAAGCGATACACATATGATAACGCTAAACCCAATCTTCCATACACTTTTCGTAGGCCCGTGCAGGTATGGCTTTTAGTTCCTTCGGCGAATTCTCTTTTACCGATTCAATCGACTCAAAACG